GTAGAAATTATTTTCTGTACCCTGGAACGCCTCTTCTTTTTTACTCGAAGTTTAACCACAACTTACAGCTTTCCTTGGTTATCAGGCTATATTTTGTAAGCAAGTTTATAAAATCTTGAACCAAATGAAGTGTTGAGTAATGCTCAAATGAATGATTTTTTATGAATGTTCTTTAACATTTCCATTTTCAGTTGTTAGCTCTTTGTAAGTGTTGGAATTTCATTCATTTCAGTGTCAGTAAGCAAACACATTCTTTTTTTTTTTTTTTTTGGGGAGAAAAATTTATTACATTTAGAATTAGCCAGCTGGACTCAGTTTAGATGATCCCAATTTTGTTGGCAACATCCAAAGCATCATAATCAGGAGCAAGTCGAACATAGGCCTTCTTCTCTCCATCAGGCCTAATCAAAGTGTTGACCTTAGCCACATCAATGTCATAGAGCTTCTTTACAGCTTGTTTAATTTGGTGCTTATTGGCCTTGTCATCCGCAAATACATTCTTTTACTTGCTTTTCGAGATAGAGTTGAGCACTTGCTATTTGCTTAGTGTAATGAAAATGTTGCTCTACTGATATATTCCATACCATAGAATCTTTTTTCTAATTTCAGAGATAAGATGATTCTAAGATAAATACATCCTCATAATAGATAATTTGTAAAAATTTAGGGAAGCCTCACTTAATCTGGTATGCCCAACCCCATTTCTTCTGGAAAGAGAAAAGATGCTCTTTCAGGTCTATCTAATAAAAGGTAGAATAATACATTCACCTCTGATGGTCCCATTATATTCTTCACAATGTTTGTACTCCCTTCCTCTGACTGTCACATGCTGTGCTTTCCCAGTTTAGGGCAAGGACTGTCTTTGTAGGAATTATTCCAGCACATGTGGCTCTTGGTAACATTTGTTTAGTTCAGTCTATCGTATGTGCATTAATCTATTCATTTATCAAAGTACTGTACACACTAATTTTTAAAAATTCTTTCATTTCAAAGTGTTGTACACACTAATAAGCCATCAAATGTAGCTCACAGAGCAGGGGTTTTGGAATCAGACAAGCCTGCATTTAAATGTTAGGTCAGAAGAAGAGACAGCAGCCCTCAACAGGATGGGTTGGCATAGTGACTGTAACAATAGGGATGAGCATATGGGAAATTGTGATGATGGTACAGGATAGGGCGAGGTTCAGATCTGTCATTCATAGGGTCACAGTAAGTTGTAGTTGGCTTGATGGCCCCTAACAACAGCAGCATGTTAGCTGTGTAAACAGGGCAAGATGTTTTAAACTCTGACCCTCAGTTTATTCACTTGTGTGATAGAAATAGTACTTCACCCTCACCTACTTACGAAGTTTGAGATAACGTTATTTACAAATTTCACTGTGTGGCACATAATAAATGTTCAGTAAAGGATAATTAGTCTCTTCTAATAATAAGCAGATATCTTCTGATTGACTTTCTCTTTGATCCTAATTTTTCCTTCTAGGACCAGTAATGTCTGATTTTTTCTTTTACATATTTTTCACTATTTAAAGGTGGCAGTCTTTTGTAGTTTCCCTACTTCTCCCAGTACTTCTCCTCTCAGCTAACTATCCTTCAGCTGTTTCTTACTTGTCTTGATTACCAAGCCCTGTCCACTCTGGTTGACCTCTTGAGCATATGCCAAATTGATAGTATCCTTCCTAAAACATAGACTAAATTCATCTCTTTAGAGGGACCCAGTGACAATGTCATTGAGCTAGGTCACAGTTGTACTTTCTTTGCTCATAGTACATTTCCAAATACCTCTAAAGAGGATATAAAATTTTGTCAACTCTATTACTTCCCTAAACTTTTGAATAAGAGTGCCTGAGTGGCATAGCTGCTTAAGTGCTAGACAGCTAACTTGAAAAACATACCCAGAGCCACTTTGGAAGGCAGACCCTGGGGATCTGTGCAAGTTCACAGCCTTGAAAACCTTAAGAAATAGCACTTCTGCTCTGCATGCTTGTGGGTCAGAATCAACTCTACAGCAATAAACTTATAGAAAATAGAAAATTAAGTTTTGTGTTTTTGTTTGCTATGTTTGTGCTTTTGCCTCGTTGGTCGTCTTTTATTTCAGGCCTCTATGTATTAATGTTTTGGAAACTTCCAACCTGAGAAGGTTAAGGCAGTCTTCCCAACTCTTCTATTTTTTTAACTTCCCTATGACTTTTGTATTAGTAAATGTTTTCAAATTATTTGGGAATATTTTCAGCCTCTATCTACTGTTTCTAGGGGAAAAAACTATGTGTTTGTTACCTGCTTGGTAGACTTTTTTCATTAAGACATGGCCTTGGATATTAAGTTGCACTGAAGGCATTGGCAAAATACAAGACCCTAAGAATTGATGAAATACCAGTTACCAGTTGACATATTTCAGCTGACAGATGTAGTAGCCCCAGACGCACTCACCAGTCTGGACAGCTCCCCTCAGAGGCTGAGTGACTGACTGGAAGAGATCCATATTCCCATTCCCAAGAAAGGTGATCTAACAGAATGTGGAAATTATATTGTTAATATCACAAATATTTTTGAAGATCATTAAAAATGGCTAGAACAGGACATAGACAGAACTGCAAGAAGTTCAAGATGGATTTAGAAGAGGCCTTGATACCAGGGATGTCATTGCTGATATCAGATTGATCCTGGCTGAAAGCGAAGAATGTCTATTTGTGCTTTATTGACTGTGCAAAGACATTTTACTGTTTGGATCAACAAGTTATGGCTAACACTGAGAAGAACAGGAATCCCAGAACACTTGATTGTGCTTGTGTGCAGCCAATACCTAGACCAAGGGCTATTGTGGCAGCAGAGTCTATTCAGTCTGTCTTCTGAGCAAGTTATTTGAGAAACTGGCTTCTATGAAGAAGAATGTGACATTAAGATCAGAAGACTCATTAATAACTTTCATTATGCAAATGATACAACCTTGCTTGCTGAAAGTGTTTAAAGCACTTGCTGCAGAAGATCAAACACTGTATAGCCTGAATTGCATCTCAGTGTCAAGAAAACGAAAATTCTCACCACTGGACTGATAGGCAGTGTCATGATAGATGGAGAAAAGATTTAAACTGTCAATGAATTTATCTTACTTGGATTAACCATTAACACCTCTAGTACCAGCTGCAAAAAGATCAAGAGACAGGGAGCTCTGGTGGCCTAGTGGCAAGAAGCTGCACTGCAATCCCAGAGGTGTGCGGTTCAAATCCACCAGATGCTTTGCTGAAGAAGGAGGGGCAATCTCCTCCTGTACCAGTCAGATCCGATTTGACGGTACACACACACAAAATAATAAAATAATTTTATTTATTTATTTATTTATTTTTTAAAAGAGATCAAGAGACATATTACACTGGGAAGGTCTGCAGTCAGAGACTTCTCCAAATGATTGAGGAGCATTGATGTTAGTTTGAGCACTAAGGTGTACCTGATTTAGGCCATGGTCTTTTCAATCACTTGCTGTGTATCTGAGAGCTGGATAATGAAAAGGGGTAACAGAGAAGAATTGATGCCTCTGAGCTGTGTTGTTGGAGAAGAGTACTAAATATCCTATGGACTGCCCAAAGAACAAGAAGATGGAGAAGGTGCAGCCAGAGTGCTCCTTGGAGGCAATGGTAATAAAACTTTGTCTCACATACTTTGGGCATGTTGCTAGGAGAGGCAATTCCTTGGAAAGGAACATCAGGTTTGAAAAGGTGGAGGGAAGGTGAAAGAGAGGAAGACCCCTAACACAATGACTGCAGCACTGTAAAATCCTTTCTAGCTTGGATAGCTGGATATTTTATGTTTTTGTCAACTTTTTTTTTTAATTGGGAAAAACATATTGGGGGTACAAGGAGGTGAGGGTTGGGGGCAGAAGGGTGAGGATGGGCCAGGATGCAGTTGCAGAGCTGCACAGTTTGGTCAGTGGGGGGAGCAGGTGAAGGAAATAATGAGGGTCCAGTAGGGACCAGATCCTACAGAGGAATGACAAGCATTTTCCAATGGTAATTAAACCAACTGTCTTATTGATTTGGGAATTGGATGCTGACTCTCTGGCCTCTTCATGCTGAACAGGGGCGTAGATTTAAAGGGGGGAAGGGAGGATGCTTTATCACCTTACTGGTGGTCTTGGGTTAAAGCTGCTTGCCTTCTTGCTCTGTTAGAAGATATTTTCCTGTCATTTGCTCCCCTCTGGACTGCAAAGTGTTTTCCCAGGTGGGTCCAGTGGGGATGGCTGGTTGAACCCAGAGGCTCCATCCTCCTTCGCTTCCTTAGCTGTCAGTTGTATTTCTTTTTTGTCACTGGCACTGGGTTCCGGGTCAATTCTGGAGTAAAACTCAGAGTTAAGGTTACCTATAGGAAAGGGAGCAAACCTAGAGAGAACAAACTTGTGAGTTACAAATAGAAGGGCTTTGAGGGTGTTGCTTTCAGGTTTACTGGGGGGGAGGGTGGTAGAAGGTGGCCTAGGTAACATTGGATACCCTAGGCATTCTTTTTTTTTTTTTTTCTCCTTCACCACCCAGAAGTCAATCTGGGGACAATGGCACAAACTGGGGACTGAAGAGCTCACCCTGAGGGCTGTGACAGCTCACCCCGAGCCGAGGGCAGCCCGCCCTGGGCAGAGGGCCACGACGGCTCGCCCTGAGCCGGGGGCCAAGGGCAGCCCGCCCCGGGCAGAGGGCCAAGGGAAGCCCGCCCCGGGCAGGGGGCCGCGACGGCTCGCTCCAAGCTGGGGGCGGAGAACAGCCCGCCCCGGGCAGGGGGCCATATTTTATGTTTTTATAAATTTTAACACTGCATTTCTTTCACCTTAAGTGCCTATGTTACCAGACCCCCCGCCCCCTTAAAAATGGACTGAGCTTTTTGTCATACTTGCCTATCATCAAAAACATACTAAACTCTAAATTTTCCAAAATTTTTATGTTGATTTTCAGTGTCATTCTCCAGAAAAGATAATAATTAACAGAAAATTAAAGTTGCCTTGTGGTTCATCCTTATAGGGTCATCAAGACTCCTGAGATCGCGAACTTGGCCTTGCTTGGCTTTGGAGAGATCTTTGCTCTGCTATTTGACAACCACTACCTGTATATAATGGACTTGCGGACAGAGAGCCTGATCAGCCGCTGGCGTCTGCCAGAGTACAGGAAATCAAAGAGAGGCTCAAGCTTTCTGGCAGGTGAAACATCCTGGCTGAATGGACTGGATGGGCACAATGACACAGGACTGGTCTTTGCCACCAGCATGCCTGACAACAGTCTTCACCTAGTATTGTGGAAGGAGCATGGCTGATGCCCCAAGCTTCCTCATCTGACTGACTTTGGGTGCCAGGGCTGCAGCTTTTGAGTGCAACCTCTGTGGCAGCTGACTGCATGAACCAAAGTTCTCACCTAATGGTACCATCACGCAGTGCACAATCATTTATCTATGTTTGCCGAGGGCCTTGGGTGGGGGAGGGCTTGTTTTATTGATTTACAATGCAGCATGCTAATGGGATACACCATTGACTTCATTTGTACTTAGTTAAGTTGGTCATTAGAAGAGGATGCATATTGGGTTCATCTTTCTTGTCTGGAATATTGGTTTTAAGTAAAGAACATCAGATTGGTCCATTAATCTGCTGGTTGGTTGCCTAGAAAATCATACACAGTCTGTTATTAATAAAAGCTTTTTACCATAGCCTCCCCCCCTCCCCGCCAGTTGAAGCACAGGTGCTTTGATGTTACAGCTAATTATTGCACATGAGACTTGGATTTTTAAAGGAGCCAGTGTTACAAAGGCCAGACATTTTCATAAATCCTCTGCCAAATGTCAAGTCTGAATTTGCACTGGATTTCCAGTATAAACCTAGTCTGCAAGTCAGTTGTTCATAACTCATTTTAAAGCCTAGCTCTTGTCAGAGTTAAGATGTGAAGGACTGGTGGTGGGTTTTGTTCCCATGTTTTTCTGTCCTCCCTTAACCTGGGTGACTACATGAGGTGGCATTTTGGAGTAGGAAGAATGCTAAGCTGGAAGATTGGAGACTGGTTCTGGTATTGAAAAATCCAGTGACATCAGTTATATCATCTCCCTCAGTCACAGTTTATTGTCCATAAAGCAAACTCATTGTTAACCTAAGTGATTTCTAAGCTTCCCAGTACATCTTCTGCTAAGGGTTGTAAAAGATGATAGTGCAGTTGTGTTTAATTCTTGATCCATAGTTTCATTTTTATTTGAGATACTATTTAAATGAAATCACTAATAAAAAGTTACTATCTGTGAAGAAATGAGCTATATGAAGGCTGGATTAAAGGGAAATATAGAAAATTTAGCAAATTCCACTTGAAAAAAGTAATTGATGAGAGAGATAACTGAGGAGAATGTGGGCTCGGTAGTGAGGGCAGTGTGTATTGTGTAAGAAAAAACTGTACTTGCCTTCCTTCTTTGCCTGAGGCACATTCACTTTTCTTCCCTATCCTCTCACGGTTTTCCTCTTTATAAAAATTACTGTAGTAAGTTTCACAAACTTATATGCCTAATGGGGCCATGCAGAGAACAAGTGAACCAACATGTTGGATAGGATTGTGGTGAGCCACAGAAGTTTCTCTCACACAGGCTGCTCCTCAGCTCTAACTCTGTCATTTGGCAGAAAAGAACCCAGTTCTGGCAGGTCTTATAATTATTTTTTCTTCAACAGTAATGATATCCTTATGTTTATTTGAAATATCCTGATTTTAAAAATGTTGACAGCTAATTGAAGTTAATTTTAAGTGGAGTGGAGTAACCAAAACATGCCTTAGAGTTTTCTGTTTGTTATGTAGTTCTGTGATTCAGCAGTGGAATTGCTTTAATTCAGTTGTCACAAACACTAGGGAGAAAGTATATAGGAACCAGGTAGTAGAAAAACCCCTCATGTGTCATCTATTTACTGTTGTGTTATGGTAAGGTAAAAGGGAAATATTTCAGTCACAGACTTTGAAAAAAGAAGTTTAAAGATGAACCCCTACTCTTACAGCATCCTCATTTAGTATAGAGCCTGACAGTGGATCTCTGGACACTTTAAAAGTTAATATTTTAGAGAATCAGTGGTGGTTTTAGTTAATAATTTTGTTGAAACTTCAAGGGAATTAAGGACACATGAGAAGATAGATCTTCCCTCACCCTCCACATCTGGGTTTAATCCACCTCACATTGAGTTCTTCGCCTGAGCTCTGCCCAATCCTGCTAGAAATGGAACTAGAATTGCAGCTGGAATCTATTTGGCAAGATTTATGGTGGCGATGAGAATAAATTCTTTCTCCCCCTTCTTCCAGGCCAAGTAAATAACTGAAAATTATGGGTCTAATTACCATGCCTATTCCCACTTCTCTTTTATACAACCTAGTAGTTTGAAAGAACAATTATCATTACAGTCATTTGTGGGGGGAAATGTAAAAATTAAAACTAAGGTCTCCAGATAAGTGCCCAAGTTCTCTTGAGCATGGTACTTGGTGCAGCTGGATTTTGATAGCAAGCAGTGTGTGGGACAGTGGTTGGGATCATAACTTTTAATTCCTTACTTTCATAGAGGCCTTTATTTCACTTGAGCATTTTATTGAATTGGATTTATAGATAGTACATTTATTCATAAAATTGCCAGCTTCTGTAAAAACAAAGCTGATTCATCCTTTAAAAAAATAAAAAGAAAGGCATCTTAGGAGCTTTGGTGGCTTAGTGGTAAGAAATTATGCTGCCAACCCAAAGGACTCGGTTTGAATCAACTAGCTGCTCTGTGGGAAAAAGATGGGTAGTCCCCTCCTGTGCGATTTATAGCCTCCAAAAACACACTGGAGGGCGAGCTGTGGGTCATTTCCAGTTTGAGGGCACACAACAGGTATCACAGGAGGAAGGGACAGGAAATAATGAGAACTACAGCTCTTTAGTATCCTTCCAGCAAGTTGGAGGTTACTTTCCCTCCACGCTGACTGGCTTCTTTATCTTTAATTTGGAGCTGAGGAAATTGCCTTTGTCTTGTCTTTTGTGAATATTCTGGCTTTTAAAAATTTCTAAATCAGGACCATATAGACTCCATTCTTTTTTACGATCATTGGAATTTTTGGATAGCTTTGTAATTTGGTGGAAGTGAAAGGTCTTCTACCTGAGTCTATAAACAGTGTTGTAAACAACTTAAGCCGCTAGGATGAGACAGGCACAGGGCAGCTCAGTGAGTGTGAAGATTTTAGCAGGTTCTGTTCCCATTCCAGCTTACTACTTGAAGTTAAGTATAAAACTGGCCCTAACCTGACCTTTTAGACCTGTCAGAGAAATAAGAAAAATTACTTCCTTCATTGGAAGGCCTAGGCTTTGAAGAGGATCTACATAAAAAGGTGCACGTGTAGGACAGCTTTTGTGAAAGTGAAAGTGAAAAGTATAGAATATTGCTGTTAAAATTTCAGCTTTGTACTTTGTGCTCAGCAGTTTGAAAATGGCCACCAAAATAATATGATAATATGATTGTTCTAATTCTTTTTCACTGGAGAATGATTACTTCTCTGCATTTGTAAAACATATTCGGGGCAAAGAAATATCCTTGGAAACAGTATTATTTTATACATGAAGAAATGATTTCTGTTAGGTGCTTTTTGATCTAAAATACACAGGTAAAGATGGTGGAGCCTGGCTTTAAACATTGCTTTGGCTAAACATAACCAGCCCCTTGAAATTGTGATTGTGGTCCGTAACTCCTTGAGAGCCTAGCAGTTCACTTTGCCACAACTTCTCTTCCAGACTTGGGGCCCCCTGCTCTGGGCCTCTTGAGGGCTTCCATGTATGAACCACTTTCCTTTCTCATTTGAAAATGAGCAATACCAGGTTACCACTCTAATGATCTAGGCAGAGGCACACTGTCACCTCTGCCTTGAAGGACACAGGGTTGACCTAAAGGGGAGAAATCTTCAAAGTCTGTCCCTTAATACATCCTTCCTACCTGGTTGTGCTGGTGGCTTGCCATAGTGTTTTAAGACAGTGAAGACATTCATGAGAATTATGCAGTCACAGATAGAGTTCCTGGTGAAAAGAATAGATTACCATTCTTAACAGAAATGCTCACTAACCATCTTTGCCAGTATCTCTGATGAGAGCTTCCCATGCCAGCTCTAAGATAGTGATTAAATAAATAACAGCAACAAAATTACCCAATTACTGAGTAGTTTTTGCATGATTTTCATCAGCCTAATCAAGCTGAATGATCATGCTCAGTGCAAAACAGTGTTTCACCGTCAAGTTGTTGCTTTCAGTCTTTCTCAGCCCTTCCTGGAACAGCTCAGTTGCTTAAAAGTTAACATTACATCCCTACTAGTAAACCCACTTAATTAATTATTGCAGCTTAGAGAATCCGACTAGTACTACTTTTCATGAATGCACCCAAACAGGAATTTCATCTCACATATTTAAATTTGGAAAATTAATAATTCAGATGATAAAAACTCATTTATTTTTCTTTTTTGGTGTCCTTATACTCACACTGTAAACTGACATTTTGCTAATGTAAACTTAGTCCCCATGGTGAGAATGCTCAGGTTGAAAGAGGCTGCTTCCTGTCACCAAGCCAGCATATTTAACAACATGGTAGGAATTTATAGTTCATGTTCCACTAATTTGATGTGTGTTGTGATCCTAGGTGGTGAGAGAATGAGGTGAAGTGTATATTTCGATTGTGGGGTGTGGGAAGAGGAATTACTTAATAGTGGAGTAATTGTGCAACAAGATGTTTTTAAAAGATGAGATGGTATTTTTATGCATCATAGAAACATTCTTTTATCCATGAGTGATTGTGCTAACTATAAATCATTTATTCATTAAAGCAGATTCAATTAGGCAAAATTTGGTTAGCCAAACACAAGTTATTGTTTGTACTTGAAGGTAATAAAGCTGCATTTCCTTGAAATTATATTTTGTAGTTAAGACTTCTTCCCCCC